CCTTGCCTTGCCTTGCCTTGCCTAAATTTTAAGATCTGCCACAGTGACGAATAACCAATTAAAATTTCATATTACTGTTCTGCGTGGCTTTTCCCAGCCTTTTTATTGCCCCACGCCCCATCTGGCCACCTCGCATAGAACGTTCTGGAGATGCCCCTTGGCATCTTACTAATGTTTACTCATTTCTGGTGACTTCACAATCCTGGCCTCAGATGTATCTTGACTTTGTCAAAAAAAAAAAAAATACGCGTCTTTTATTTGCATGCATACCACACATCCAGTTCCTTTGAGATGTTTGCACAACTGCTAGATTCATAACTCCTCTATATTTTAATCACCTCTTTGAAGCCATGCCACTGAAACACGTCACCAACTTCACCGGCGCTGACAGCTTGGCTTGTTTCAGGTTGATTTATGTCATGCAAGGCGGTGTCCTGTCATGAAAGGAAATCGATCATATCTTTTCAATTTAGAGTCACTCTAGGCATCTGCAGGAAGCAGGTTTCCCAGAATACACACACGTGTTATATCTTTCTATCTCCTATCCTACTGACTTCCATTCATTTTCATTCATTTCCTGACCCTAACCCAAACCTACATGCTAACGCAAAAACAGCACTTCTTCATATGGGGCCCCATACGGAGTCCTGGGTTCTCACTAGGTAGCAAAGGGCCTTACAAAGTGAGAGTGCTAAAACACACACACACACACACACACACACACACACACCCGGAAAAAAACAAAACAAAACAAAAAAACGCCTATTGGTTTCACTTTTAAAGAATTATGTTTTCTCAGCATAGATAAATAAAATCAGTACTTGCAGAACTCAATATATTTCAGCTGAGCAAACATATTTCTGTTTCTTGTTGATTCAATGTGTGCCTTTTTATTTTCCTCTAAAGCACACAGTCAATGAAAGTTACTTATTAAACAGTCAGCGCCAATACTTCATTCATCAATCAAACCACATGAATGAAAAAAAAAAAAAACTCATTCGTTTGCTTAGAGAGTAAACTCATGGAAATTTTTATACGATCACATGCAAATGCTTGGTATGTACCTGATGTGTGCGGACGTGCACCGTCTGTCCTGTCTCAAAGGTGATTTAATAGAGCAATTTATGACCATAAAACACAGAACATGAGCTCCTGCAACGATAGCCAAACATGCCTCTCCACTTTGCCAGCGAGAACACATGTGCATCTCATCACTGCAAGACAAAAAAAAACGTACTTTGTGGCCAGAGGAAAAATAGATTCTTGCATTTCTGGGTGCTAAGTCCAAACTTTTTTGAGCCAAGCTAAAACTCAGAATGAAAAGCTCCCGTGAACTGTGTCAAACATGAGATAACCTCGGTCCCTCGAATGCCTCAAGTCTGAAAATCTGCCTAGTAACAGATATCCCACGAGAGGGTGTGTGGCTCCATATTCACTAATGAAAAGATGTGCTGTTTTCAGAATGCATGTGATAATTTCAGAACTACCAGTTGCTAAACTAAGCTGCCTGGCACTGAAAGACACACAATAGAGGATGGACAGGCGTGTCAGACACTCAAAAAAACAATGGGTTCGATTTAGGGGATGCATGCAGAGAAGGGATAACAGAGGAGTTGTGGGCATCCTACTTGAAATTTTGTGGGTGCTGATTTAAGGAATAAGTGACAGACAGACAGGAACAGACAAGCAGCTGCGAAAGGCAGGCAGATAACTAAATGAAAACAGGGAGAGGAGGCAAAAAAGATGAGCTTAAAACGGCCGGAGATTCTTTGCGACGTCTCAAAATGTAACAAATCATTTGAACGCTGCTCAAAGTTTAAGCGATATAAAAATATCCCAGAAATTCCCCTGAGGCTCACCACAAACTGAAAGCTGAAAACGCACATCAAACATGACAAAAAAAAAAAAAAACACACATAGTAAATCCTTTAGCCACATGTATGTTTGATAAAATGTTTTTTTTTATTGATATTAAAAATGAAAGTACATGAATTGTGCATTTCGGACGATCTAGCGTGCAGAGATTAAATCAATAAAATACACAGGCTTGAATGAGCTACCGACAGACAATGTTGCCTTCGCTCTGCGAGTCATCTCTTCATATTCAGCGAAAAGAAGAAGTGGTTGTCTTTCACGCCATTCATAACAACACTAGAGTAGCCTGTATGAACATTACAATAGTGAATGAATGCAGTCCTAGCAGGAAAAATATAAAATATAATAATAATAATATAACATTTATTATAATTGCACTGCCTGCTTTTGTTGCACAACTGAAGTAAAATATAATCAGACACTCAGATCTCTCAAACAGAAATAAGACGTAAAGTGTTCTCTCCACTCTACGCCACAGTACTTTATGGCGAGCATCCATTTAGTCTCAGTTCCAGAGCGGCCCGTTTGACCCAGACGAGGAGAGGAGGTGAAAACTATCGTGGCACAAATATATGTCGTTTACTTATTTTGTTTTTTTGTGTTTTTTTTTTTTTTTTTTTTGTTACTAACGTGGCCCCCGTCAGTGGTTTGAAGAAAGCGGCATCATGACCAGACAAGGGTAGCAACGAGAAGGAGATTATTACTTTAACACAGCAGCAACTCAACATCTTGGCCTGAATGCATCATAAATGCTTCAGGGTGATAGCCCTTCATCGAATGCATAATGGATGCATTAGTGGGATTATGAGGAGTGAATGTAACCCAACACGTTCCAACGCCATGGAGAAAGTGACAGACAGACAGACAGACAGACAGACAGACAGACAGAGATTTTCTATTTGACAGACAGTGACCTCTAGTTCACACTCGTTTGTTGCTTTCATCACCGTGACAACATGAGGGCATCGATACAGTGACTTGTCTGAGTCACATGTTAGTTAAACCAAAAAGACGGTCCTCACAAGATCATTGGATGTCTTTCCCATTTAATTACACCTGGTCATCAATACTAAAGTGGCTTCAAAAACATAGTGGGCTTGATTTACAATCAACATTAACCAATAAACGGGGGCGGGGCGGGGGGGGGGGGGGGAGGAGAGTCCCCCACACTGACACTTCTGGAAATCCATGCCGACCGTCCTATTTAAGAGTATATGTGCCTATTTCTGTGAAACGTTACACCTTAATCAATCCACGCTATATGCTGCTGTTAAAAAAATATTAATTTATGGTAACTATTTCAAAATGAGGAAAAAAAAAAAAGAAAATGACATTATTTTTGGTACAAAGCATCTACAAAAAAGCCTTACAACTCCAATTGGAAAAAACAGAGATCATACAAAATAAATCTGTCAGTTGAGCATCAGTGCTACGTATATTATTTGGACCAATTTTTTTCAAATATATTTTATAACAAAATAAATAATGCCTTTATACAGTGCCCTTATTTGTATTTCAACAAACAAAAAAAAAAAAAAAAAGAAACACAAAAGCTTGGCGGCTCATTATGCAAGATACAGCTCAGACTAAAAGGAAAATAACATCCCTGGAAACTAATTATATTTCTATATATATATCTATATATATCCTTATATGCATTTATACATACATAGATATATATACTGTATTTTCAAGTATTTGTTTTCAGGCAAAAGCAGGTGAATACTACTGATATAAAATAAAAATGTTAGTTGACAATATTGCTGTTTTTTTCCCTTTGAATTAACATTTTTGTGCCTTTTATTTTAAACTGTAAAATGATATAATAACAATAACCATGAAAACAAACCACAAAAAAAAATAAAAAATTTAAATGCCTAACTTGGAAAAACAGGAATGTCACGGTACCAGACACTGAACAGGGTTTTCCTTTTTTTTTTTTCTTTTTCAATGAGACATTGATATGAAAAAAGACAAAATAAAATATAACCATTATTATTATCATCCCACTTTGTTCTTTGTCCATGCCGTGTCAGTTCCTGTGGAAGCAGTCTGCAGAGGCATGGCAAACAGGAAGTACTGTCTCACAGCTATAGTCCAGAGGGTCCACAGTGTCCCACGTGTGTCCAAGGTTGTGCTCCGTGTTGTCCAGCAGCATCAGAGGGACAGGAGAACCAAGGACCGAGTCTGGGGCCACCTCTCCATGCTGCTAATGCTGGCGAACTAATAATGAGCAGCCACTAGAACTCGCCATGAGCCGAGATGCCAACACAGCCCGTTTTTTGTTTTCTTTTTCCTCAGTGACTCTTCCCCCCGTTTTTGACAGCGCCACTGCCAGGAGCTCCCCCATATCCTTTATTTTCCTCTCTTTATTTTAAAGTCACACTTTCCTTAAAACGGAAAGTTTAATATTCATTCAAAAAAAAGGAAAACAAAAACATGCTTTCAACCTCTTCTTTGAGTCCATTCCCAAAGCTAGCACCATGACATTTATTTTTTAAGCTACACGTTCATTGTTCATAAAAAAATAGTGCCTTTTTTTTTTCTTTACTTTGACGTAATCCGTGGCAATGTGCAATTCTGCAGACTCTTTTCTGCTTTTTGTTTGTGATCAAAAAAGGTGCTGGAACAGGAATCTAATTTTGCAAAATAATTCCTTACAGTGTGGAAGTCCCTTTATAGGTAGAGGTGCAAACTAATAGAGAAAAAAAAAAGAACTAAGAGAGGTTTTCTTTTGCCTCAGGAAAAAAAATGATGTGGAATGGATTCTTTCATGCAAGTCGTTCTTCACTTTCTGTTGTCTTCCACCGGGATAAGAAAAGAAAAAAAAACCATTATGATAGGTGTCCTCTTGACACTCGCAAACACAGATCTCTTTCATCTTCCTTCTCCCTCCCCTTGCCTTTTTTTTTTTCTCTCTTTGCTCGGGGATCCACCTGAATTGCATTCAGCTGAATTGTTAGAGTTCTGTTCAACTCTTGTGTTTGTTCCTTTTGTATCGGTGACTGAAAGAGGAGGGGAGCGAAGAGGGGGCAGGAAGATTGTGAAGGCATGTTCGTATGCCAGAGGAGGGTGGCTGAGGTTTAGGTGGAAGGGGGTGGGGGGGAGATCGGGGGGCATTAGGAAAGGGCCAGGGGTTCAAGACGTACTGGACAAGAGCAGGGGGGAGGGACTGGTGGGCCCGGACAGGGCAGGGGAGGTCAAAGAGGACTGCCACAGAAATGACGTCAGAGACAAAGCTATAATCCCCTAGTCTTTTTTTTTTGTCACCCTCATACTCTTGTCTGTGCAAAGGGCTGGCAGCGGGCTCACTTGTGGTTGACAAAGTTGTCCATGGTGTGCAACACAGGGGGCAGTTTGCTGGGAAGGCTGATCAGGGGCCGGTGGAAGATGGCCTGCTCCTTGGCTTTAATCTTTTCCGCCTGCCTCCGAAACTTTTTGGCCCTCAGGATGGCAGGGACACCCCTCCGGAGCCGCTGGGCCGCCTTCCTCTGCCACACCTCGTATCTGGAATACTTCACGGTCACATGCGGCTTCCTGGGGGCTTCCTATTGTGGCGTGCAGGAGGAAAGAGGGAGAGGAGGAAGTCAGTTCATTAGCGGAGATAAGATTACTGTTCAAGTGCTCGTTACAATGGAGGAAAGCTTTGTTTATTACCCGAAAACATTCGGTCATTGTTTGGACCGCTAACATGGAAATCAAATGTCATTCTTATGGAGCTGAACGTCAAAACAACCTCGCCTCGCCTCCAGCCTGCCCTTGTTTTGGCTTCCTCAAGTGAGAGAAACTGTCAATAAGTGCTCGGGCTTTTTAGCATACGGTAACAAAGGAAAGGCGGCCACTCTCCCTCATATACATATTAGCTGCGTGCTATCACTCAAACAAAGGAAGCTCATTTTAGAGCATCCATGCTAATGCTGACAAACAGTTGTAGGTGTTGTTGTGAGCACTCAGAGATTGAGACAAGTGGGAGCCCTGGCAGCTGAGCTAGCTGGGATTTATGCGTGAGTAGCCAGCGCTTCATGTGAATAGCTTGTTTTGGTCCTGCCACTTGAAGAGTGTTTACCGCCCCTCCCCATTCACTACAGAGCTGCTCAATAGCCCCAAGAACAGCTGGCCCTCGGAGCAGGCTGTACCCATCAACTCTCCCCACTGAGACAAACTGGAGACATGTCCAAACTAATTCCCCAGCAGCCTGGTTTTGGTTCCCGTCAAAGAGGGAATTCGCATCTTAAAGCTGCATAATTTATGCTTTTTCTCCGCGTATCTTAAGCACTAAGCATTTTGAGATTGCTTTGGAGACGTTTTCAGGAGTCGAGTCTTTAAGCTATTCCACGTTTCAAGTATATTCCGATAAAGCTCTTCGAGCCATAATAGGTGTTTTTGGATCGGAATATTTTTAGACGGCTTGCTGTTCTTTGAAAATCATAACATGCTGTTTTTGTTCCACATCAGCACTCAGGCACTTAACCATGATATTATTGACGATGTGATCTCCAGAATACAATGTACTGTGACTGTGCTAATGTTTTCCACAATGGTCAGCACTTTGCAACTGCTTAGCAATGAGAACTTAACAAGATAAACCTGTTTTTGTGTAGATTTCAGTCTGCACTCTGTGTTTCAGGTGAGATGGAAGGGCAGATAAGAGACCTGGACAAGCCTTTGTGTTTTTGTTGTTGCTGCTTCTGGACCCACCTGCTTTAGCGCGGGCATGACGGGCATGCCCTGCATAGAGGAGGACGACACGTCCCTCTCGGACTTCGCTGGTTTGGCACAGTATTGCTCCAGCAGGTTGAGGTCACAGCTACGGAAACAACACTCCTCTACAATCCCACGGTTCTGGGGGCGCCGATGATTGTTATTCCTGCTGTTTGGCCTACCTGAGGAGAAACAAAGCAGGAATGTAAGGTTGAGGCCTGAAAAACACACACACACATACACACACACACACATGGCCTCCGGTAACGAATTGAGGTTGTTTTTGCAGGATTACTTCAACAATTGTAGCAGACCTTGGAGAAAAGAGGATAACAGGAAATCTGCGACGAACAGCAACAAATATTTTTGGTTGGAAGGGATAATCTGATTAAGCATATCTGGGCATCCCAAAATGAGTGTTTCAAGTAAACACCATGTTCAAAGGAACCCGAAATCAGAGACGGTGTTAAAAAAAAATAAAATAAAATACTTTAGAATAATCAAATATTTTACTTCTGCTTTGTCAAATTGTCAATGAATGGGGATAAACAGAAAGCAAGAATGGCAAAAACACAACAGAAGAAGAAGCAACTAGTTGGCAAAGGTGAGGGGGTTGCACAAGGTAACATTACACATGATCAATAAAGGCCTTGTCTCCAGCCCTCACTGAGCTGGAGACATCTCACAAAAAGGACAGCTCGATTTGATTACAGGAAGAGCAGGTCATCCAGGGAGAAAGAGGAATGATTGAGTAAAGTTTTGGGATAAACTCAAGACTCTGCTCATTTGTCCAACGGCAAAATGAGAGTCTGCACAGCTTGGCATGGCTGGACTGTTTATCAACGTAAGCTTCAGGTTTGAACTGAGCCAGTCTGAACACTACTGAAACTTTCTGTCAGAACACTGTTTACAGCTGCACACTGATGGTCAGCTTGCTTAAATCAATGTCAAATGTTGATGTTTGGAAATATGTACCATTTCACACAGAGTGGATGCCATTTTGGAACTGCAGTGGGCATGTTAACCAGCAGACTGCAAGGCTGGATACCTGAGCAGACAGCCTGACTAAACAACCTGCCTTTGTGAGCTTGTTATACTTGTGTTCCTCCACTCAGGGCAAAATATGCACATGAACGCCATCATTGATTTATTGTATGCATTAAGCCCATAAGAATAATAAAGTTTTACATTTGACTGGTCCCTAAGCTTTCCAGCTTCTGACACGCAACTAATCAGTAGAAGACATTTGTGATCCCAAATATAAGATTTAGTATGCAAGGTTAAACAGTCAGCCAGTGAAACAGAAGTATAATACAATGCAAATAACATCAACAACTAGTGTATTATTTGAATCAATTTACAACAACCGCTTTTTGTGTCAGAGGGTCTTTATAGGCTCTTTTTTTTTTGCTTTTACTTTGATTTCTAAAAGGGAATCTTAAGACCCTACACTCTGATTCACACCCTGAGAAAAATCCCAGCCAAACTTTGGCAACAGCCAACAAATAACTTTATTATAACTGCAATTGTAAATATACATATGTATTTTTTTATTATTATTTTAGCGGGAGTAGGACTAAAAAACCAGTCATGTGGCAAATGTTAACATTCCATGCTTAAATTAATGTTCCAGGGGAACTTATGTGCATCACATGCATTGGCCACAGAGCAAACAGAAGCTTATCCTGGTGAGGATGAATGGCAATGCTCCTCATAAAGCCATTCAGCCAGCCCCACCATCAATACAATGGAAGCAACAATCAGAAATGATAAAATCACGTTGATGATCTTTTCTCTACTCTGGCATTAACAATCTCTCTCTCTCTCTCCCTCTCTCTCTCTCCATTTTTTTCCTCTCCTCGCAGCTCATCAGTGTGGTCTCCTGGCCTGGGAATAGTGGTGCTGAGGTGACTGGTAATGCCTCTTGGGGTGCTATTACTTTACTGATAAACAAGCAGCCCATTGTGTCGCCGGGGTCGTGTATGTTCCTCCGCAGCTCGCCCGCCCGGCCCTTTCATATGCAATGAGAGGTGCAGGCTGTACGAGCAGACTCAGCAGAGCAGACCTGGAGAAGCACAGCTGGCTGCAATCTCTCTCTCTCTCTCTCTGACGCTGTTTGCGCGCACGGACTTGCGTGTGTGTGTGTGTGTGTGTGTGTGTGTGTGTGTGTGTGTGTGTGTGTGTGTGTGTGTGTGTGTGTGCGTGCGTGTGTGTTGCATGGGCGTCAGTGCGTGAGAAAGAAAAATAGCAAACACGCATACCACGCAGCCACAGACAGTCTCAGCTATCCAAACAGATGTGAAACAACAGAGAGAGAGTAGGAAAGGGGCGAGAGAGGGGGGGATAAAAAAAAAAAAAAAAAAAAAAAAGGGGGAAAACCAACATTTGCGCCGGCCGTTTTTGGAGGAACTTGCACAGCTCTGAAGAAAAGGAAAGGGGGAAAAAAAAAAGAACCTACTGAAATAGAAGCCTCTGTCTTCGCAGACAAACTGCAGCGCATCCACCAGCTCTCCCCCACACAACGTCTCTGCCGAGGCCATTTCCACAACGTAGAGCGTGAGAGCCAGCGCAAAGAGCAACGCACGGCTGGTCGAGCACATCTTCTTGACCTGCAGGGACGAAAAACACACACACACAAACACACACACACGCATTAAAGCATAAAGACGTAAGATGTGGACAACTGTAAGATTTGCGATCCGTTATTGTGATAATAATAATAATAATAATAATAATAATAATAATAATAATTAATAAAACATTTTATGAAAACTAAAATCATAGCCAGATGTTTTGTAATGTAAGAGATTAAAGTCTTAAAAGCTGTTTTACGCACTGACCTAGTAACTCGGGGAGGGAAAAAAAAAAAAAAAAAGTCTGCTCTGCGAGTCAAATGAAACCAAATAAGCACACTCAAACACCAAGTACCCGATTTTTATCAGCGGCTGTCATGTGTTTGGCACCTGGAAGAAGTGCTTATTCTAAAGGAAAAAAAAAAAATGTCGCCAGTATCTCTAAGCTTTCACTCTCTTACACAACCCCCCCCCCCCCCCCCCCCCCCCCCCCCCCCCCCCCCCAAAAATTCCAAGCCCGGCC